AAGCATCTTTTGCTTTAATTACAGCCTTTAGTCTGTTGGGATTTGTCTCTACTAACTCTGCAATATTTGCCCGCTCTTCTTTGCAGAACTTAAGTTCCGTTAATTTGATGGTGAGTGTTTGTGGACTCCGCATCACCCTGTAGCGCCATTTTGGAGAATATCAGCTGGATGTAAACAGCGTGTGCTGTTCTGTATCAGCTGCGTCACATGGATACGTTGTTTTCGTTCAGAGCTCCAGTCCCTGCTACAGAGAAACAGCCCATAACAGGACATCTCCAGCTCCATGCTTTACTGTAGGAATGCTGTTATTTGGATGCTGAGCTGTACTAGATTTCTGTCAGACATATTGTTTGATGTTGGGGCCAAATAATTCAATTTTAGTCTCATCTGCCTCAGAATCCTTAAAGGGATAGTTCACCCAAAAATGAAAATGCTGTCATTAATTACTCACCCTCAGGGGCGTAGCCATCATTTCAGAAGTGAGGGGGACAGAAAACCCCTGATGTCACATGGATTATTTTACCGATCTCCTTGCTATGTTTCTGGACCTTGAACGTGGTAGTTACCTTGCTGTCTATGGGAGGGTCAGACAGCTCTCAGATTCCATCAAAAATATCTTAATTTGTGTTCCAAAGATGAACGAAGGTCTTACGGGTTTGGAACGACATGAGGGTGAGTAATTAATGACAGAATTTTCATTTTTGGGTGAACTATCCCTTTTAATATGTGTGTTTTGGCAAAGCTCAGTCGTGACTGCATGTGGCCTTTCTTGAGGAGTGGCTTTTTTCTCGCAACCCTCTCTTTTAAAAAGAGCATTTTATAATAATGTCAAATGAAATGTTTTACCTTAAAGTACTGTACATTTCAAATCATTATGTATTAATAATCTTTTTTGTGTGTGTGTTTTAAAGAAGTACACTTCATTTTGATTTGCTGACTAACTTAAAGCACATGTAAAGTACCTGATTAAAATGAACATGTGCTTAAGTCCTATTTAAGTGGCCAAAAAAATGCTAACTGAAAAAGCAAATTTGCTAAAGCTTTAATTATTTGAAGTGTATTATTTCTGTAAAAGCATGCTAAAATGTATTTTAGCATGGGCAATGTTACAAAGGGATTGAAACAACTACATAGAAAGAATAACTACATAAATACAGAGCACATAATCAGTCTGGGAGAATGACTAATGTATCATAAACACGTAATTCTCAATAGCATCTTTTCAGACACGTGTGATGTTAGCAGTGTTAACAAGCAGACTGCGGACCGATGAGCTCCATATGAGTAAAGCAGCACCAAACAGCACACTTCAGAGCGCAGGCCTCTCATTTGTCCTCACAGTGAGGGGTCCTGCAGGCCTTCCTCTCATCGCCTGTGTGCCGAACACACTCTCTAGAGCGTATTTAGAAGACACACTTGCCAGGAAGACAGAGGTAAAGACCCAGTGAAGCTATTATGAATGGGGATCAACACAGGCAGGCTGCCACGTGTGTGTGTGTGTGTGTATACCTACTTAACCATATTTTGGGGACAGATTTGTACCCAAAAGTGAGCTCAGGTGCACACACACACACACACACACATCACATGTTTACTTAGCTATCTAAATGGGGACTCTCCATAGGCGTAATGGTTTTTATACTGTACAAACTGTATTTTCTATCACCCTACACCTAAACCTACCCCTTAAAGAAAACGTTCTGCATTTTTACAATAAAAAAAAAACGTTGTTTACTTTATTTTTATACCAGTTTTATAAATGAGGAATTAAGCTTTGTCATTTCAGTTTTCTCACTGGTGTCGGGATCAGTTGCTTTTTTTTTTTTTTTTGAGATATGTTGACCATGTGTCACACAGATCTGCAGATTGTAACGAAGCGCTGTGAGAGACTGAAGCTCATCGCATGCTGTGAATCTCTATCTCTCTATTACAGCATTCACCCAACTCACACGCTTTATCTGGATTCATGATCATCTTCCACCTGCTGTCCAATTTACTGAAACCGCACGACTGATTATGCACCACTCAAATTAATATTTCATCAAGATGTGTAACTATAAACATGAAGTAATAGAACTGTAAGAAGAACTGAAGTGGCTAAACATATTTTTGTAAAGAAAGACCTGAAAAAGCTTGTATGTTATCAGACTGTTAACGTATAATGCCTAATTTAGACAGAATAAATGCTAAAATGTATTTTGAACAAGCAAATATTTAAAACCTGCTATTAATACTGAAATGTTTCATAGGAAATAACCATTGAAACCAATTAACAGTTAAGTCATTTTTATAAAAATTTTTCTCCTGTTTTTCTGTTAGATTTTAATAATTAAGAATTGTAATAATTTTTATTCCTTTGGGTTGTTTATAGAAGAACTTCAGTGAACTGTTAATTACGTTTTATTCACATGCATCTTCTTAAAATGACTGTTATTATTGTATTTAACCCAGCATTTTTTTAGAGTGTAATTGTGCTATTTTGTTGTTGTTGTTCTTTCAAGATTTGTATACAAAGTCATTTGAACAAACCAAATGTAAATAATATGATAAGCATTTAAGAAAAATGCAAGGGAAGTAAACACTACTGACAAAAGTTTGACAGAAAAAAAAACTTTAATTTATTATTAAAATGACATAAATAAAACTCACCGAGAGTCCAACAAATACAAATAGATAGATATGTACAAATGATTTCTCTATAGGACGGATTGCAGACAAAACTACAGGGTCACTTTTCAAACTAAACAGCAAAGAGGAGGTCAGCCCCGAGTAGGACACCGAGGAACCGCGCAGGAACTGAGACGTCAGGCCGCCCGTGATGGACCCCGACGCTGAGCCCGAGGGGGTGAGGCTCGTCCCCGCGACCGACCACAAGCTTGGGTACTGGCTGGAACGCAGAAACCGCCCGGTTAGCCAGTGAATCTACTATTAAACATGTCTTTGTTTAGATGTAGGAAGCACTGACCTGGTGTTGGAGGTAGTGTTGGTGGTGTGGGCCAGGGTGCCCATGCCACTGGAGTTGGGTATCTGCAGGGCCGACCAGCTGTCGTGAGAAGCAAGACTTCCGGAAGAGTTGTCCATGTAGTTATCTACAAGAAAACACAAGAACTAGATCAATGGAAAGCAATGGATCAACATATACAATAAAAACCATTCTGGTCAGAAACTACACTCTTAGAAATTAGGTTAAAAAAGGGGGTTTTCACAGTGATTTTGAACCATTTTGGGTCCTCAATGAACCGTTCAGTGATTTTTCTCAGTGTGAAGAACATTCTAAAAATCCAAAGAACCTTTTGTGGAATGGAAAGATTCCATGGATGTTTGAGGTTCTTCATGGAACTATCGATGGCAATGAAGAAGCTTTATTTGTAGGGGTGCATAATGGACTGGCACATGTATCAGAGTTCATTTGCTCTTACTGCTGGTCGTGCTGCGGTGGGGGTAATGGCTGGGATACGGAGCAGCTCTGTGGTTCCTCAGGCTGGAGTATCTCTCGCAGTACGAGCCAGAGGAGTGAACGGGGGCCCCATTGAACTGAGGAGGGCTGCTGCTGGGGCCCATAGGGCCGTTACTGGGCAGGAACCAGCCACCAACTGTTGGAGGAAGACATGCGTGTTAAATGTGCTGTAAAACAATGTTTTAATTGTTCGTGAAGTTTACTTACGTTGTGAGTATCCAGATTGCTGGTTGTCAGTGCTGTGGTCTGGGACATCCTTGTGATCACTTCTGTTGACGTGACAGCAAATAATGTCCAGTTGCAATAATGTTAATAAGTACATAATACAATCTTACTGAATGGCTTTTACAGAGAAATTATGTCTAGTGATTGTATTTTTTATTGTACCTTTCTTTGGCGTCCAGGAATGCTTTGGCAAATGGGTTGTGCTTGATCTTCAGAGCTGTGATCTGAAAATGAATTCGAGGAAAATGTTCTTCATGCAACATTTTAAAAGGCTGAGGATGCATCTCAGGCTTTATTCAACAAACACTCACCTCTTCATTCTGATAAGCCGTGACTGCAATGAACTGAGTGTCGGGAAAAGACTGACTGCTGATCATTTTCTGGATCCCACCGACTTTCACTATGTGAATCCTGGGCTCGTATTTGTGCAAGGAGTTCAACATAATCTAAAAAAGAAGAAAAATAAAAAAAAATTATTTCATAAGCTATCTACGGAAAATAATTTAATATTTTAAATAATTAAATCAAGCATTTCAACTACTAACACAAACTGTATACGTTTTTAATTATTTATTTAATGGTTGAGAACTAAAGAGTTTCATTACCTGTCCGCCTCCATTGAGTTTATTGGAGAGTTTGACTTTGCTGAAGGAGATGGGCGCTTTCATCCAGTGCGCGCCGAAGTTGGGTGAGTCTGGATGGATGTAGACGCAGCTCGGGCTCTGAGGCTCGGGTTTCCCGCCCGGCACCCATTCACCGTTCACATATTTCCACCGATTATTATCGGCCGCTACAAAGTCCAGCAGGACCGAGTACATTGCATTGGGGTCCAGACCGGTGACACTGGCTTTGAGCACGGGAAACATTCGCCTAGAAGAGGAGACAAAGATTGGTCAAAGACATTTTAACAGAATTCACATGAATGAACTCGACGGGAATAATTATCGACGCGACAAAACTAGACCGCTAATAAATGATCGCAACCACAGCGACTTTAGCGATGACTGACTAAAGTCTATCGGAATTTCACTGACTCTCTTCATGATTTTTTTTTTTATGTTAGATTAGGAGCATTAATGAAAAAAAAAAAAATGCTAAAATATTTTCTTTAATTAAAAGGAAGTGTTTTAGTGCATCTGTCGTCAAATCTCAATTTACCTTCCAGTCTTAGTGACTATCATTTCATTAGTGAGCTCTTTAAATTTACTCCATAGCTCCGCGTCTTCTAGGGAAAGTTTAATATCCCGCTCGAACGCGTCGCCTTTCTCGCTGCCCTCCTGAAACTCGCTCTTCACGGCGCTCAGGAGGTGCTCCAGGCGCTGGTCGGGACTCGAGGAAGACATATTTCCGATCAATTGAGATAAATCCGAAAGCACTAAATCCCGTGGGGTTGCGATGCTTTGACAGCGCGTCTCAATCTGCGCTTTTTTAACGCGCCCGGAGCCTTTTTAAAGGCCCGATACTGAGCTCCTGCTGTTACGGGGCGTGACCCGAAGGCGAGACCAGGCCCATCGAGCCCTAATAGCGCCCGATAATTTGTCGCCACAAAACGGAAAGTATTTTTGACTTACATAGAGGCCCATTACAAAGTGTTGAAGTGTTTGAAAGTCTATAGTCAATGAAAACGTTTAAGATACAGGCAAATAATTAAGTAAAAAGAGGAAAATTACATTATGAACAAAGTATAAGCACAAATGTAATAATTCATTAATTTGCTCTGTTTTTGAAATTTTCGTAGAAATTGTTCTCATTTATTGGGAATAGGCTAGTTTAAATACATTTCTTATATTTTTACATATTTGCGTTATTATTGTCATGATTTCGCATTTTCCAGGAGCGTGGGGTTTGGATATGCGTGGCAGGATAGTAGCCTAATCCAAACTTGTTTTCCGATTCGGGAACTCGTCTTTGAAACAAAAGAAGGGAGAGAGACAGTGTCTGCTCCGCGCTGCCTTTGAACTCAGTTGTATATTTGCGAATAATGCTAATCTTTTGTTTGTCCCAGATACACATGTGAGAAAGCTGGTGTTTACTGGGACGGCCCATTAGGATGCGCCAGAGCTCGACTGAAGTGTGGATGGCCTGAAGGCGAGATGTGTGAATTTGCTTAATCCAGCATGACTCAGTCCAGCCAGAGGAGAGATCGGTGATATTTAAACTGTGCTTTTTAACCCGCGCAGCCTAAATATAGGCTACAGCTTGGAACTCAGTGTTTTAAATAATAAACAGCCATATTTATCTACAAATGAAATATTCTACGTCTTATCTTTTTTATTATTATTATTGTAAACATAATTGTAGAAATAGGCCTGTTGTTGCTTTAAAAAATTTTTTTTTTTAAATATTTAATTATTATTATTTTTCTTCGATTTGATTTTAAAGTGTTGAATATCACGGTCAATAAATGTCGTAGCCTATGGTTTATATTAGGTTACCTGATATTATAAGTGTATACGACATGGAATATTATGGAATATTCTATACGGAAAAAAATAATTATATGCAATGCCACATGGGCATTACAGTGAACTGCCATAAAAAAGGCATCTAAAATTCAAATACAAATCTTGCACAAATCTTTATTCACCACATTTTTAGGGAAAACTGTGGTGGTTACTTAAGATCAAGAGTTTTAAACACCACCTTGCTTGTACTATCTGACATTTTACAGTTTTTTGTTTTTATTTGATTCATATTTGATCCAGTATGGTGAACACTGATGTAAGTTTTACGAGGGCTCTGTGAATCGTTCTGCTGCACTTGGAGTTGATGACAGAGGATGCTGATATAGTCTGCACTTCTCAGGGGCCGTAACTGTGAAGGGCCCTCACACCTTTCTGCTCAGATTCAGCCGATTTACAGAGCAACAAACAGCCTGTCTTCAGACACATCAACTCACACTCCTGAACTTCTGTTACACACACACACACACACACACACACACACACACACACCATACTTAGTTTCCTCTGATATAAGTGAGAAAATGACCAGCTCGCTCAGCCTCTGATATTCACAACCCATGACTAATATGTTTGGGCTTAGAATTACAGACTAAGATATTATGAACTCATTTAGAAGTAAAAGCTAACATTTTGTTAAACACATTGCAGATTTAAAATGGATTTCTTCTTTCAGCTGAAAAGAAACACACAATATTAAGTGAATGTATCTGATCTGACCCTTAACAACTCCTTTCATTGATGTAAAGCAGTTTATTATTTGATTTGAATAGAGTACACCTGAATAGTTCATTTAGATGTGTTTGTTATTTTCTCTGTGTTTTGCATGTGTGCTGACTGAGTGTGTGTGTGTGTGTGTGTGTTCAGTGCTGGAGGGGTTAAGAGATGCTGTCTCTCTCTGGCATAAGGAGCCTCTCACCTCAGTGAGAAATATTACAGAGGCCTGGTGCTCCACAAAAGGACACTTATAAGAGAAGATGCATATTTTCCACACTTCTCCTCTCCGGCCTAAATCAGTAAACAGGGCAGGCGGATGAGTCAGTGCTTGGAAAATAAAAGAGACAAGACACACACACACACACACACACACACACACACACACATTTATTTGAATTAGAAATCTTTATAAAAATTTGAAAATATTATAAATGCCTTTACTGTCACTTTTTGATTCAGTTTAATAAAGTATTAATTTCTTTTTAAATAAATTCCAAGCTTTTGATTTATTAGTTTACATTTTATACACTATATACATACAATTTTACATACAGTTAATATAATACAGTAAACACTACTTTTTACTTTTTTTTTTTTTTTACTAATTTTGTCACTTTTTTTGTATCTGTCCATCATGTAAATTAATTTTTTTTTTAAATAATTTGATAGCTCCAAAATTGAGTGTTAGTTAGTTAGTTGGATGGTAGGTTGATTATTATGTTGATTATGTATGTTACTTAATCATATGTTAGCCTGAATGTTATAATTGTTAACCATTTCATTTCTCTCATGATCATTATACAGTAAATTACTTTTAAAAAATCTTTTTTTTTTTTTTGAGCTATTTTCTTGACATGACAGTAATTGCATAAACCATGTTAAATTTAATTCAATGTTATTTTAGTATCATTATAATTTTTATTAAATATAAAAATTATTTAATATTATATTTTTTCCATTTTAATTTTAATTTTAGTTGTCATGTTTAGTAATTTTTGTTTATTTTAGATATGTCTAGAGTTTTTATTAATTTTTATTAAAGTTTTTGTTATTTTAGTGCATCAAGTGAAACTAAATTAAAATGTGAAATGCTCTTAGCTTAAATAAAAAGTTTATTTTATTTTATTCCAGTTAACATTTACTTTATTTCATGTAGCCTAACGAAAATGGGTTTTTATGATTTTAGTTTTAATTTCAGTTTATAAGTGCAATTGGCATGAGCGCATACAAGCATCAATAAAATGAAAATTTCAAAATAAATAAATCTGGTTGGTTTATTTACTTTATAAGTGTATTACAGTCAGTTAGAAACTAGTTTGGTTTGAGTAGCACAGTAGTGACTGTATTGTAAGTGAGGTCCTCTGGCAGTGCAGGACTGCGTGAGTGTGTGTGTGTTTTTTTAAATTGACCCTTATGACTGGTTTTGTGGTCCAGGGTCACATTTGTACCTTTTGAAAAACCCAGTGACAGCTTTTGTGCCTTTTTTTCTGAGAGTGATATGATGATCAGAAAGTTTCGTGGTTCTATAATTAAAAACACATCAGTTCACATGATTTTAATACATTTTGATTTAGATTTTGCCTTCTATAATGGAGAAAAAAATATGTGTTTCAAGTGTTGCCTTTTACATCATTCCTACAGTTTATAGGCCTACACAATATTAGGCTTATCATATTTTAATAGCTGACTTACTCAAGTGTTATAAGGGTCTCTCACAGAACGAAAATACATTTGTTTGTGTTTAAACAAGCAAAGACATGAGTGTGTGTAACAGAGATGTTTCCTTTAGCAGATTTCGTCTTGTTTTGTGGAGTCTCACCGAGGTCAACACTCACCAGTGTGCGAAAAAACATAATTAAAACATTCACTGCAGCACCAACACACTTACTCTCTCTCTCTCTCTCACACACACACACACACACACACACACACATTCACATGGTGCCCAAATTATATAAAGGAAATGTGTTTGTCACTGCTAAACTTTTTCATTGCATATACAAACATAAAGAAGTTTTTCTTCCTCCTCCCATGATTGTTCCTGTATCAGACTTTGTATGTAAGCAGTTTGAATCACAGTGACGCTCTTCTTGAATGCACGTGGAAACAATGCTATTATAAATACAGTGTATGTAGAAACAGGTCAGCAGTGAATATGCATGTGGGCTGATGCAGATGCTGTGACGCTGATGCCTCGTTTCCTCTCAGCCTCTGGCAATGATGTCCTGATCATGAGGACACTTGTAGCTACAGGCTAAAAATGGCCTCTATCTTCATCAAAACCCAGCAGACAGATATTATTTAAACTTTATGTCTCCACAAAGTAGGCATGCAGTTTTTACAAAGGTACATTTTATTCACTCACAGAAAAAAAAGGTACAAAAGCTGTCACTGGGGCAGTGCCTTTTCAAAAAGTACTAATATGTACCATTTAGGTGCTAATATGTACACTTTAAGTACTGGTACTTTGTACCTTTACGGTATTAATATGCACTCTTTTGGGGTAAATAAGGTACAAAGATGTATTTTTTTGAAAGGGCACTGCTTCAGTGACAGCTTTTGTACTTTTTTTTTTCCTGAGAGTGTTTATACAGTAAAGCTGCTTCCAGTTTAGGGTCAATTTGATACCAGCATGAACACTGAAATTTTGCATACATTTTTTTCACTACCTGTCTGTAACATATGTGACCCTGGACAACAAAACTAGTCATAAGGTTCCATTTTTTTAAATTGAGATTTATACATCATCTGAAAGCTGGATAAATAAGCTTTCCATTGATGTGTGGTTTGTTAGGATAGCACAATATTTGTTCGAGATACATGTCTGTCTAACTCCAAGCTACCACAGATTAATTGTAGTGACATTTTGGTTTGTTTGAAAAAGCTTTTAAATGTTTTTATTTTCATTCTGTATTGCTGTTGTTTTGACAGTATTGTCTAACTCCAAGTTATCACAACTTCATTGTAGTGCCATTAACTGCAATAACTATTTTAGAGGAACACAGTACATTTTTATAATACTATGTAACAACACTGAAAATGAGTAAAACAGTTCTGTGAATCTACACCATGTCAATCTTCATGTATTGTTTTTACTTAAAGTAGTGATTCATGACAAACGAGTGGGCTCAGGATTGCAGCACAGCTGACTGGCCCTCAGCGGATGTTACAACAGCAGACCTGA